GTGAGTAAGGAGCGGTGGTTTGATGAATTATTCCATGTTCTTTACAAAATTCACCAAAAGGTGATTCATATTCACCACCTCTATCATTTCTAAGTTTCTTAATTTTCTTACCGAGTTGATTTTCAACTTGTTACTCAAAAAGTTAAAAAGTTAACACTATTCACCAAAAGTCAACAATTACGGCTGCACAACTCCCAATTCAAATTTTGCCCTACGAATCAATTTTTTCATTTTTTTATTACACATTTTTCAATAAAAAGTCAAAAAGTTAACCCAAACATCCATATTTTCAACCTCAATTTTTTAGTCCAAAAAGACAAAAAGTACACTTTTTTAGTCTTCCCAAACTTGGCCTTAATAATAGGAAAATGTTTGGGATCCCCTTTGGGGAGACTCCCACCACCCCCATAATGATGTGGACCAATGATGTGTTTGTATTGTTTTTTTTTTTTCCTCTTTCTTACTTTGATTAATCACAAGTGAGCGGGGGTTGTGAAATGAACATGCACAATGCAAGAGTATAACTTATGATTATGCAAAGAGGGCTGTAATGAAACATCTGAATGCAAATGTTATGCAAAGCAATAATACGACAAACTCGTACACAAGCAAGTAAGTAAACATGCCACGCGTGGGAATTACAGATTGAATTACATGTCATGCAGAAATGATGTAAGAAAATTATGCAATCTTCACTGCGCTTCACGCGGGGAAGGCCCAAAGCGATTGTCAGAAACACCCAAAGTCTCAAACAAGATCCCGACGCGTTGCACGCGAAAGGAATAGGAGTGATACAAGCATTCCAAACGCTCTTAACCAAAGGAGGTCTAACCCGTCGCACGTGCGAGGAGAAAGAACAACAATGCCCAAGGCATACGAGATTAACGGTGATAGATACATAGAGTAAACATGTGTAATAGATACACAAAGCGAACATGTGATAGATACACAAAGCGAGCGTGTGTGATATATACACAAAATGAGCATGTGTGATAGATACACAAAGTGAGCAAAGTGTGATAGATACACAAAACGAGTGTATGATAGATACACAAAGCGAGCGTGTGATAGATACACAAAGCGAATGTATGACCCCCACAGTCCCAAAGAGATCCTGACCTTCCATGTATGTGTAGTAGGGATGGCAATTTAAACCCGACCCGATGGGGACCCGACCCCCCGTCCCCGATAAGAGCAGTTTTTTCTCGAAAAATACTCCCCACGGGCCGGGGATGGTATTTGAAATTGAATCCTTGATCAGATTCGGGCCGAGGACGGGGATAGCTTTCACAGGCCCGGACTCGGCTCGGTCCCGTCCCCGGCCCCGGTCCCGTTTCTCCCTGACATAAAATTACTATAATGCCCCTCTATCTATTCATATATATATATGTAATATAATATAACCCTCATTCCTGATCTCTCACTCTCTCTCTCTGTCCTTTATACTCTCTCACTCCGTAGTGGCTCTCTCTCACTCTCTCCTCTCCACAGTCGGCGAAAGCTCTCTCTCACTTTCTCTTCTCTCTGCAGTCGCCGGTCGGTGATGGCGTCGTCTCCTCCTCCGCGGCAGTATGCAGTCCGTCGTCGCCTCCTCATCCTCCGTCGCCTCCTTCTCCTCCTCCGCACCACTGCCGAACCTTCATACACAGTAGATCTGAGCAGATTTGTGTATGTATACATATGTGTGTGTATGTGTGTCTATCTATCTCAATCTGTCTCCATTTTTTTTTTTTGATGTTGTTGTTGTTGTTAATGAAAATGATGTTGTTGTTGATGATGTTAAAAAATAAAAAATAAAATAAAATCTGATATGCTACTGTAATTCGGGGATTTTTCGGGGTCGGGGATACTCGATCTCTGATCGGGGATGTGGGCGGGACTGAGAGGGCGATGGGCTCCCTGCTGGGGATCGGGGGCGGGGATGGGGAATTTTGTAGCTTCGGGGATCGAGGACGAGGAGTGTGATCCTCGGCCCCAACCCGCCCCGTTGTCATTCCTAATGTGTAGAGTCCAGTCATATATGTGTGGGGTCCACATCATGAGTGATCTAGAGTTGTGAGAGTCTTGTGGAGGACGGAGTCTCAATTATTACTCTTGTATAATTTCCCCTCATGATAGTATTTGGTAAAAAAGCTAGTAGAATATTTAGAAGTTCTAACATTTTTGTAACTCTTATTAATTCATTCCCATTAAAAAAAGGGTAAATTCCATTGATACCCTTTGAAGTTTCTATTTAATATAGATTCCCTATCGCGTTTGAAAAATTATATTTCCTTTTTTGAGGTTTGTAATCTCATTATAAATTATCGCATGAATTTCTTATATTATGTCCCAAATTTTTTTAAATGACCATTTTGCCATTTTTCGTGCCATTTCTTTTTCCTTTCATCATGGCTTCATTCTATAACTTTCTATCATTAAATTTCATTTGAACTTATTTATATTGAGTGATAATATACAAACATAAATTTTATATAAAATTTTCAAACACAATGATATAACTTAATGTTGACCTTTTACTTTAAAATAAAACACTCATAAACATGATTTATATTTACAACAACATCATTATCACAATATTTTTTGTATAAATTTTTATATATAAATATAATTTTTTATTTTTATTTTCACCATTATTTTTTTCTTTCTCGCCTATTCAACTACATTTATTACAATATCATGAAACACTGCCATTCACATTTATTACAATATTATTGACTTTTTATATTTTTGTATTTTTTTTTTTTTGTATTTTGTGAATTTAAAAAAAATATAAAATATTATATGTCTTAAGTATATCTAGATTAAGTGTATCTAAAAAATAAAAAAATTGCTTAAAATATTTGAAAAAAATTAAGTAAAAATAAAAAAATCAATTTTTTGTGTGAGTTAAATAAAAAAGACGGTTGTTATTTTTCTTGAAATGACATGAACAAAATATCAGTATTATTTTATTATTTTATACGTATATATAAAGGCTAAGGGGCAAATATATCATTTTAATTTGATAGGAGGAAAGTAGAATTTTTCAAACTTGAGAGAAATCCGTATTAAACAGAAATCTCAGGGGGTGTCAATGTAATTTACTTTTAAAAAAAAATTCTTATTAAAATTACGGGTAAATTACAAATACCCTGCTTGAGGTTTGTTTAAAGTACAAAATGTCCTTGTAGTTTAAAAAATTACAAATACCCCCTTGTTAAAAAATTTTATTTAACAAAATTAATTAAAAAAAAAGAAATTCATAATTGTTCTTCTATATGATAATAAAATTACCTAAATTATCAATTGAAACATATTTATAACATCATTAAAAACTGTTGATTGACTTGATGATTTATTAATAAAAAATATGATTTGTTATGAAATAAAAAAATTTAAGGGATGAAATGTAACTTTTAAAATCACAGGATGATTTATATTTTAATCCAACCTCAGGAGGTATATTTGTAATTTATCTTAAAATTACAGTTACTTCCCAATGATAAAACGACGTCGTTAATTTCTCAATTGACCTGTAAATCCTAGTCGTCTCCTCGCGATTTCACATAGGTTGTCGCTTACATCTTCAGTGCACCTGGCTCTGCTCCATATCTGTACGCTCTCTCTCTCTCTCTCTCGTGGATTCATGATCAGCAAATTGAATAAATGTGTATCTATGTATGTATGTAAATTGACATAGATAGTCTCATGGGTTTCCCTAATCTTCTTCAAATATACTACTTTTTTTGCTCTTTAATTTTCCTTTCTGTATTATTACTGATTAACTAGAGAGAAAATTAGGGTTACCCACATTTTTTTCTTCTTCTGTCCTTTCAGTTCTATGATAAGATCAAGAAATTAGGTACAGTTGGCGAATTTGTTGGTGCTCAACAACTGCAGCTGCTAATTTTCTTACAATGTCTTGTTAATTTTTTATTTTATTTTTCTTAAATCACTCAAATGGGTTTGCTAATTTTTGTTTTTCTTATAATGTCTTGTTAAAGATATTCACATTACTCATATGGGTTTTTGCTAATTTGTGATGGAGAAATAGAAAATATGTACAAGCATTACAGTGTTTGCAAGAGTTTTAAATTAATTTATAATTAAAATGCTAGTATTGAAGCTCTTTTTGACTCTTGTCAGTTTAATTTTCAAACACCCAAATTTGTAAAGGAATATAATGAGCTCCCGGCTAATATGACAAAACCAATGCTTAATGATACTGGGTATTGAAAATATTCAAAAACAATTATTTTTATTCGTAATTGAAGCTCTTGTTTTGAAATTAATCGAGGAATTGTAACCTAACAGGCTACATGTTTTCTGCTAAGCTCAACATTTGAGATCAAAATGGGTGATACAATGAGGATCGGTAATTCAATGGATACTACTGGAAATAGAGAGGGTTCACCTAAGCTGAATGTATATATTTGGGACATGGATGAGACTCTTATATTGCTCAAGTCCTTGTTAAACGGAACATATGCAGAACCCTTCAATGGTTTAAAGGATGTACAGAAGGGTGTTGAAATTGGGAAGTTGTGGGAGAAACATATTCTTCAGGTCTGTGATGACTATTTCCTTTATGAACAAGTAAGTTTTCCATTCTCAATTATGTGATGCTTCTTTCATGAGTGTCACATTGTGAATTAGTTTTGTGATTTTATGATATATTTGAAAGATTATTTGTTGTCTCTGACTAAATTAACAATTGGTGATCCAGATTGAAAACTGCAATACACCCTTTCTTGATGCCTTCAGCCAATATGATGATGGGCGGGATCTCTCTGATTACGATTTCAACCAGGATGGTTTTAGTCCCCCATGTGATGACATCAATAAAAGAAAATTGGCATACCGACATCGAGTTATTGCACAGAAGTACAAAAAGGTTTTGATAATATAAATCTTTTGAGCATGTGATCTATTAGTCATGTCATAACATATCTATTGTGTCATTGGCAATCATTGTAGACATTGGGATAGGAACCTGCTAAAAAATTTGACCATTGCTTTCTGGTTATCTATTGTGTGTTTTTTATATTGTTAGTTTGCTGTCCAAAATGACAAAATGGGTAGCTGTTGGTTCATTTTGGTTGATAATACTATCTATCTAATGTTTTTGAGAGATTTACTTTACTATTTACGGATGTGATGTATGACGATTAGGGCAGCAGCAACTCTGGGATTTGGGGTTGATTTTAATTGGATTTTATGGCTGAAATTGCAATAAAAGTATCGGGGACAAAAGTGTTTGTTTGGGGTAAATAATGGGTAAGAGTTTAAGCATAAAAAGACTGGATTTCGGCAATGTTTAGGGCCTGTGAACAGTATCCGTGAACAGTATTTTTGGACTGTTAAAAGTGCAGAAAATAAAACAGGGAAAGACGGAGAAGAAGAAAAAAAATATAGATTTAGGAATCACTCCTAAAATCTCTTAGGCATCACCTAGGGTTTGATTGCATCACACAATCCATAAAGAAGTTTCAAAACTCTCAAATTTTTATAAAATATAAACTCTATTGAATTAGAAGCATTACAAGACTTTATATAGACTTGAGACTTCTTAAACCGACTATAACAAAAAAAAAAAGAAATTACTAAAATATCTTTAACTCTTGAAACCAATTTAAACTAAATAAGAAACATAAATAAAACCTAATTAAGTAACTTGACACAGAAGACGATCCATGGATGATCCTTACAACTCATACTCAGAAATTCTACAAATTACCAAAATATTCTTAACTTTAAAAATCCTAGAAAACATAAAAATAATAATAAAATAAGACTCTAATAATACTAGAAATATGACCATGCGTTGTTACCATCGGTTTCTCTTTAAAATCATGCCAAGTTTCAAATATCGCCGCTACTTTGAATTTACTCTTTCTTGAACTTCTTATACTCTGCAGCAGGATGCCTTTGTTTCTGTTTTCTTTACTTAGTTTTGAGGAATTTTTTGCATGGTTTGATATCCCATACACAATTTCTCAAGGGTACTTATCTCTTACCTCTGTTGACAATTGTTTCAAACTTATTCTTTCAATTAGAACTTTGAGTATGTCTGAATAGACACTGTCTTCTTAGGGTTTATAATGGTCTAATAAAGATTGAAGAGACTACAGTATCTTCTGTGTTGTGAAGGATGCCTGTGAACTGTAGGTGACAAAATAGTACTTGGTGCTGATTTGGATCATCTTCATATGCTATATTTGAATAGTTGGAGAAAAAAAATAAAAATAAAAATTGTGTTAGGTTTGTAAAATAGGTTTAAAGTTAGGAAAAGTGGTCAAGTTCTGGTTTTGGATTTTAATGGGTAACATAGAGCAGAAAATTAAAGAGCGGAAGAGGAAAGGTGAGATGAGTCAAGGAATCACTTCTAGGCATCATAGTTCACAAGAAGGGTTGACTTGCATCACATAATCCTAGAAATGCATAGTTGCTGAAAATACCCCTGAAACTTGTTCTCTTTGTTGGTTGAAAAATCAGTATTAGCTATGGACTTATAGGCAATTGTAGCACTACTTATATTTAACTCCATATACACTATCTTGACTATGAAAACCCCTAAGAACTATATAAATAAAAAGATCCAATAACTTAACTTGATCGTTACTACGACTCATGAGCTTACCAATACACTGCATGAAAAGAAAATCTGGAAATTTTTAAAATACTCCTGATTCATAAACTATAGAACATACTAAAAAACTGACCAGAAGCATAACTTAAAAATTAAACCATACTATGACCTATAACTTGGTTATGTAGGGTCCTATTCCTAATAGGCCCCACTTTGAATCATGCTAATTTCTGAAGTTTCTCTTTAATTTTACTTTTAATTGTGGCTCATCTAGACTGCATCCTTATGTAGGAAGATCTAATGTAGCTCCCCTAGACTCCCTCAATGCTAAGAATATAAAAATTTGAAACTTCTGAAGGATACCACTATTTTTATGGCCAATTACTGCAAGCCATTACTGGATCCAGTCTGCATCATGAATTTCTGATATTTCCTAGCTTGATTAGTTGCCATCTTCAATTCACATGATTGTCATGAACTGTTTTGATCCTTTGCCCAAAACTTTGTATCCTTTTATGGCTCGACTCCATAAATTTGCTACAATTTGGCTCAAATGGAAATAAGGGTTGAATTGAAACAAGTTTTTAAGTTGCCTAGTTTAGTAACCATTATGGTATACCACATTTTTGGATAGCTTGTTTCAGAGAGAATCAGTGAGATGATAGTGAGTTTTGGTGACAGTGTTTTGATTTTTTATTTTATTTCTTCCCCGGGTTCTGCATTTTCACTTCAGTTTACTTTCATCTTTCGAGCATGAGTCGGTTGAAGTTGATGAAAGTTCAGAGTCAAATATAAATAATGTCTCTGGGGTTAGGAACTCTGATTTCTGGTTAAGCTCCATTAGTGCCAGAACTGGAAATTGACCGTGGTTCTTTACTGAGAAGTCACCCTTTTCGGACTTGTCACCTGTTGTAGCATCTTTCGTATTTCTTCATTATTGACCCACATCATTACCTGTCTCATTTAAGAAATATAATCTACTCTAAGGATGTTTTACAGTACTGTATTATAATCTAGGGCGATGACTTAACTCTACATTGCAGGGTATCCATGGTATTTTTGATCAAGATATGATAAAGTTGTGGGATGATCTCTATGATGCGACTGATAATTACACAGACAGATGGCTTACTTCTGGTATATATTATCTTTAGAATGATGCATCTGCAGAGCAACTCCTTCTCTCTTAGTTATTCTTAATGTTCAATTACTATAGTGCTAGGCTGCTAGAATCTTGCTAAAGCAATGAATTCTAGAGTTTATCGTTTTCATTTTATGGGAAAAGATGTGATAGCTGAATAAATTGATTTGATAACAATGACCTATCAAAAGACAAAATTATTTGTAGGGACAATGGAAATTTGTTTAATGGTTAAAAAAAAAAACACTGGCCTTCGCACTTAAGGAATTCCTCATGCTTTTCACCACCACTGGCCTTAACATGTTTAGCCTCTGACTGCTGTCTAAACAAATAATACCTATGAGAAGGAGCTAAAGAACCCACACCTCTTTTTTACAAAAGGTGCTCACAACAACTGCAAATAAAGAAAGAAAGGTCTTGCTCAGAACAAGCCATTAGAACTCCTCTGGACCAAACCATCTCCCAGATCTAGGATCACAGGCAACTGATCAACTTTTCAGGACGAAATCCTCAAATACCTCCTTCTTGTTTAGTGCAACTCATATGCAACTAAAGTGAAAAATAACAAAAGAATGATACTATATAAAAGCTTCTTTGGCAAAATTCTATGACATCCAAACACTGATCAAGAGTTGGGGTAACATTCCCCAATATCTAGCTATGTGAAATAGACAGCGATCTTATTTTTAGCCTAAAAAGTGGTTGTTCCAACCCCCCCTCAAAAGTCCTCCTTTGCGCTCTGCCCCAAATAATCCATATCAAATATAACAATGCCAAAAGCCAAGCCAATCCTGCTTTTTTCCACTTTCCCTGACTTGAATGGTGGTTTAATGAAATTCTTTCCCCTCGCTTTAATGTTTTCCCTCGAAGATGCATTACTGAAAATCAATTGCAGGCAATTCTTAATTTTCCGGGATGACTCTGGATAACTGGACTTTATGGTTTGCAGTCACAATGCAAGTAGATTTTAGCCAATAACTTTTCAAAAATTGCCTCCAGTTTTTCTTCATACATAGTATTGATGACAATGATCCAAGAAATTAAAGGGACGTGGCTGATTTACAGCATGAAGAATTCTGTTTGTGGGATGAGTTTCTTCTTGGACTAATCTTTTTGCAAAATAGGAACCTTAAACATGCTGGTCAAGGGCGTTTCTCCCTTCATAAATCAAAATACGCATGCCCCTATATCTTGTTCTAAGGCAAGATATTGTGCCCTTGCGCCAATAAACACTATTTTTCATTTGATTCATTAGGGTTTGTAAATTACCTTGAAGCCCTTAGGGTTTATGCATTAAATGCCTTAAAAGTAAGACTTCATCTGTCTCCACAATCCGAGGAGTAATGTCTTTATTAGGGAAAAAAAAATTCTTATACTAGTTTAAACACTAGCAGTTCCTAATCTTTTTCATATGATATTCATCCTTGTCCAATGTAGCTCGAGCCTGTGTGGAGCAGTGTTCAGGTAGGAATAAAGAGTTAACTTCCGGTGAAGACTCAGCTGGTGGGATCAGTGACTCCCCTACTAAATTTCAGCACATCAATGTTTTAGTGACTTCTGGTTCATTAATACCCAGCCTTGTCAAATGCTTACTCTTTCGTCTGGATGACTTGATAACATCTGCAAATGGTTAGTTACTCTTTCTTTCATCTTTCCTTTTATGAAATGCACAGCTATTTTTGTATCTCCTTCATGTGCTCGGGGTCTCAATCTTTATGGGTCATTATTGTGACATTAATATGGAGTTAGTCATACAAGTTGGAGAAGAGTATTACTGACAAATATGCCAATCTTTGTCAGTCTATAGCTCATGGGAAGTGGGAAAGCTCCAGTGTTTTTCGTGGATCAGGGAGCGATTCAACGGCCCAAATGTCCAGTTCTGTGTGATCGGAGATGGATGGGAAGAGTGTGAAGCCGCGCAAACCATGAGATGGCCATTCGTTAAAGTCGATGTGCAACCGGGCAGTTCTCACAGGTTTCCGGGCCTCACTTTGAGAACACTAAACCACTATTTCTCTGTTGTTTATGGAAATGGCGATGCCAAAAATGCTGACAACGAATAGGTCATTGCATCGGCTGCAATAAGTAAGCTGTTCTAAACCCAAATATCTATGTGCAGAGAATCGGTGATCGCATGCGTTTGAAATGTTTTATTTTGCAGAACTGTGTGAATCAGTCAATCAAACTACCTTGACTTGATGAGTAGCTCAGATCCTAGTTGTCTCTGCAGAAAATAAGTTGTCCCAAGGAAGGATTTTGTAAAATCATCTTGTTAATTTGATTTTCCCTTGAAAATTGCTTAATATATATATATATATATATTTTTGGCCAATTTGTATACCATTAACTCATGGAAAATACAAAAAAGGTGTTTCCTAACTTGTTAACACATGTTTACCTTCGGACCAAATTAACCAAGCAGCCTCTGTGAGGTTTTGAGTTGTTGGCTTTTTCAATTTTAAGATAATTGAAGGCTATAAAAAGGGTACATACCATAAACCTTGTTATTTCATCTCTACCTCTTGAAAACCTTTTGTTAAACAAACACACACACACACACACACACACATATATATAAATGCTATGTACCATGAATTTTTATCCTAAAAAAGATGTGGGTTATACCTAGAATGAATGTGGTTTATAAATATATTTATTGAATACTTTTTGAAATAATTTTTTTGAGTATGTAATGGTGTTCATATAAGCTTATTTTTTTTCATTTTTACATCTCAAAGTGCTAGTCCATTTTCTAACTGTTAATGATGGTGACCTTTGCTAATAAATGAGGTTTTGAGTTAGAAGACAGGAGACCAAATGCCTCGTCCGGTTCTCTTGTTTTAAACTCTTTCTTTGTCACATGATCAATCTCTTCAATACTGACCAGTTATTCACTTGTTCCAAACTCCTTTACCACATCATCAATCTTTCCGGTGCTGATTGTGTAGCGGGGAAGGGGGTTTGGGAGAGGACAGGGGATGAACCCCTTCCCTATACCTGTTATACTGATTGTGTTGTAGAGAGGTAATTTGAGGCAAAAGAATTGGGGAGATATGTTACTAGGGATGCTGTGGCAAAGACTAGAAGAGAGGCTAGTTTGTTGGAAAAGAGGAATTAATAAAGCTCCATAATTGGAATGGTATTGAAAGCCCATTATTGCATGTGGACTTACTTTACCTTTTAAACCACTTTGGCTATTAGGATGGAATGCCACAAACAGAAAGCTCAAGGTATGTGTTTGAGTTCCCTCCTTTTAAGGGAAATACTATTCATACAGAAATTTGTCATCAGAATAACGTGACAATAATATTTTTATAATTAAATATCTTTTTGATAGATACCTAAAAATAGTAATTCGCAATACAGTCATATAATTATATATATAATTTTTATATATTTTTATGTTTAGATATCATTAATATTAATATTAATGCTCATATAAGCTTCTTGTTTCATCTTTGCTTCTCAAGATGCTATTCCATCTTCTTACTGTTTATGATGATGACCTTTGCTAATAAATGAGATTCTGAGTTAGAAGCCGAGACAAGATGCATTGTCCAGTTGTTCTCTTATTTCAAATTCTCTCTTTATGATATGATCAATCTTTCCAACGCTGATGATGTCCGGTTGTTTTAACCTCCTCGCTATTCGTCAATTAATCTCTCTTGTATTGATCGTGTTGTGTTGTAGAGAGGTAATTTGAGACAAAATAATATAGGAAAAACTGGGAAAGCGGCTAGTTTGTTGGAAAAGAGGAATTAATAAAGCTCCATATTGGATTGGAAAATGGTATTGAGAGCCCTTTATTGCATGTGGATGGAATGCCAAAATCAGAAAGCTGAGGGTATGCATTTGAGCTCCCCCACGAAAATATTATTCATACAAAAATTTGTTACTAGGATAATGTGATAATAATATTTTTGTATCTTTTTAAAAACAATAAGTCACAATGCAGATATATTTTTCTGCATATAAATTGTATATGTATATACTTTTGTAGATGTCATTACTCCCTTCTAATGATCTACTCACAAGGGACTTGAGATGAAAGTAAAAGGGGAAATTACTCTTCAGTGGAGAATAGGGGGGGAAAAAAAATAAAAATAAAATAAAAATATTGAGTGGTACAAGTAATTTTATGGTGCGGTGCAAGTGAAAATTTGTAGACTTGTACCCTTCTATGTTTGTTTAATTTTTTTTCTTTTACTCCACTTGACAGTAATTCTCATACTAACGGTGTTTAGTTGGAAGATTTGAGGAGAGATTTGAAAAAAGAAAGGTGAAATATATGTATATTTTATTCATATTGCATTTATCTTTTTTATTTTTCCTTCCAAATTTCTCCTCAAATTCTCCAATCAAACACAACATTAAAGTAAAACAATTCTCTATAATTCTAATTGCATGCAAATTTTCACACGCATCTGGTTAAGTTATGTTATCTTTGATATTTCTTTAATTAAAAAATAGTATGAGTTTTTTTATTTTTGAGAAATAAAAAAACAAAAGTCAAAACAATTCTCTATAATTCTAGTTGCTTGCTCGTTTTCGCACGCATCTAGTTAAGTTATGTTATCTTTGATACTTCTTCAATTAAAAAATAGTTTGAGTTTTTTATGTTTATTTTTGAGAAATAAAAAAACAAAAGTCCAAGTGATTGATTTGATAACTTTGCAATTGTACTTTGGGATAGTCCCTCGGGAGATTGGGAGAACTAAACAATTATAATGTTATTAATTTATTAAATCTTGAAATTATACGTATGGATGGTTGGCGGATTGAGACAGCTAAACAATTCAATGATGATCCAATCCAATCCCATCTCTCATCTTGTTTTATTAGTTTGTGATAAGAATAGACGTGAATATATTTTTTGGATTTCAATGACGCTCATCATGACTCTTGATATTGATAGCCAAAAATTAAAATTAAAACATTAATATTGATATTAAAATTTCGTAATATTTTAATATATGTAACACTGAATTTGTCTTTTGTCAATTATTTATTGGTTATATAAACAGCCAAAAATATAATATAAAAAAATTATTAGAAAATTATATCTATTATAGATTAAAATATCACCATGAGGATCTAACATGCAAAATAATGCAACCTTGGCTACGTGGGTCATTAAGTACCACATAGGCACACATGAAACTATATATATACGTAGCGTGTAGGCAAGGAAGCATGGGCCTTCCAAGCTCTGAAATTATGCTTGTATGGTAAAAAATAGCGTTGACCAAACACACCTCTCATCAATCGGATGATAGATAAAGTCAATTTTATTCATCTCTTTAAAATTACCAATTAAAATTGGCAGACAATTAGATTAAATATGTCCTTCGCATATATTTTTATTGTCATAACACCAACCTCTAATTATTTAGTCGTCTTCATCGACGTTGTTTTGCAATGGTTGACCCTAAAATTATCTAAAACCCTCCAATCAATAATGAGATTTAATTGAATTTTAATTTTTAATCTGAGAAGATGAGTCCAAATTTTCGGCTTAGAGACAAGGATCTCATCTTTATAAATTACTAGGAATTTAGAATTTTTTAAATTTTTTTTGGGATAGGTATGGAAATGATGGCCCAACCAAATGACAAGAATGGGGAAATTCATAAATGTTCGCATTGGAGTAATGTTTAAAGCAATGCCTCTTGTTTGTTTAAATCATTTTGTTGGTTCATCTCATCGCTGTCTGTCTTTTTTACAATCTGAACAAATAAATAAATAAAAACACCCTCAAGTGGATGATGTTGATCTGCTTTTAACCCAAAAAGGTCATGCCCTGTCATGAACACAAAAGAAGATAAACATCCACAAAAACATATGGTCAATAGGAATTTTAGCAAGAAAAATTAAGCACCCCACTTTGATGGTAACATGATTATAAGAGAATAATGCACCTTGTTAGGTTTAGTTTTTAAAATTTGTTTCTAACCTTCTGTTTTTTGTGTTTTTTTTTTTTTTTTCAATCTTCAATGAATTTTTTCAAATATTAAGGCAAAACATATAGTATATGTAAAGAAATTCGAAAAATGTTTACTAACCACAAAAAATACAAAAATGCAAATTTTTTTTTATTTTTTTATTTTAAAATTTGAAAATCTGTGGTAGAGTATTTGATGCAACTTTTGTTTATTGTTTACAAGAGAAAAAAAATAGCTTAAATGAGTTTGATTATTGGAAAGTAGTCGAACAATGCTTTTAATTCTTAACTTTTGATTATCAGCTTTCAGTTTATAAAAAATTACACAAACCCATTTTTAGCATTTTTACTTTATAATTATTAATTTTCAACTTGTAAAAAATTACACCAAACATACCCGTTGTTAGGTTGGATGTATCAATTATTGGGGGCATTCAACACATGCTTGTAAAATCATGTAAGAGTACAGGTTAGGGTAGGGATTACACCGAACAGTACTTGTTGCTGAAGAGAAAATTGTCCATTCCAACGTGAAAATCACTGCAATGTCACTTTATATCATTAAAACTTGATCACATTACTAGTTAGGCATCCACAAGCTTTTTAGAAAGCCATAAATAAATAAATAAATAAATAAAGGGTCTGTTTGGGTGAGGTTAAAAATCATTGTTTGGGTTTGGTTCAAGCATCAGGATGAAATTATTGATGAATTTTCTCTCAACACTGATGGGAATATCCACTTGGGATCAAGTTAGAACCAAGATAAAAAGGCCAAACAAAGTACAAATTGGTGGACCCTCTCTTGTAGTGGTGTTGGGTGTGTTCTCCACCTTAGAATGGGTCACTGGCCATACTTTGGCCTTCATGTATTCATCATTGGGTTGAAAGGAAAAAAAACAAAAGAAAAAAATGAAGATAATATAAATGAAATATAAGTTTTTTTTTTTTCATGATACAAATATAACGTTTTAAAAAAAAATTACGTTATTTATTTATTTATTTTTTCACTTTTTACCACCAAACTTGGATTTTTATAATTATTGGATAAATTTCAAAGTTTAATTTCACTTCCTACATAGATTCACACAATTATTTTTCAAATATAACGAGTCTTGTATGTACGCATGTCGTTTATTTTGTAACTTCACATTAAAGATTGAAAAAAATGGTAAATTTTATATAACCAAAAATTGCATTTTCCATAAGAAAATTCTCCTTTTAGAATTAAACCATATTTGAAGTATGAGGATTTTCACATTAAGAGTGTGGTTAATATAGTTTTCTTCTTTGTGTTCTCCATACTACCCCATGACTCGTAATTCTCTGCATCAATTTCATCTTAAAATTTTGAATGATTAACTTCTCCATAATTTAGTTAATAATAATAAAAA